ATTCAGCTGTGAATCCTTCAAGTCCTGAGCTTCTTAGTTGGTAGTTTTATCATTATTAATACTTTAATTACGTTGCCTGTATTGGACTGCTCAAGATTTTTAAGTCTTCTTAATTCAGCTTTGGCAATTAACATGTATCTAAGAATCTCTCCATTTCTTCAGAGCTCTTCAGTTATTCAGCAGGTATGTTTGTGAAACAGTTGCTAATGATTTCCTGGATTTTACCAGTATCCATTGTGATTTTACCCTGTTCATTTCTAGTTGCATTAATTACTTTAACAAGCTTATGAAATACAAGTGATATACAATAAGATTTAGGAATCACTGGGTCCAAGACCCACAAATCCCTCAACTTCATAAATACATCTCATTACTACTGAGTTTGGGCCATAGAAAGAGCAAGTGGGGTATGATCTGCTCATTTTCAAACACCTCAGATCCTTGAAAGAGAGCCTGAACACAAGACAGCCAGTGAGGAGAGGGCAGGGCAAGCCCCAGTCACCATGTGACTAAAGCAAAATCAGACCAAACAGGGCCCAAGTAGTTCAGGTAACAGGAAGACCAAAACAGGACAACAGGCCCTTAGACTCCATGCAGCCTGGAGTCAGGGTTGCCCTTTATTTCAATGACCACCAGATGTACACATTATGAACTTTTAACTCTTCAAACCCTACCAAAAAATGGAGATCGCTGGTGAAGTAAAGAAATAGCTGGGAAAAATCAAGAATGTGCTCCCACAAAAGAAAGTGTGTCATTCTCAATATTCTAAAAATAAAGTACTCTTCCTGTTAAATACTGTAGACTTTTCTTTATAATGATGAGTTTTAAATAGTGAAATATTAATAGAAACATCTTTTTTATTACTCTTTATCCTTTGTTCAAAAGAAACAACTTCCAAAAGAACCAGCCAACCTCTACACTAAGAGTAATTCACCCCGTGATTATAGCTTTCTGTGTTCTAATTCCTCTGCTGTGTTTTTTTAAATGGTAACTCTGTTTGATGAACTCACCCTGCACTTTTCCCACCACGTTACTTTTGCAGCTAGAATAACAGGATGGTGTGATAAGGAGCACACACCCTGCTACAATCAGTCAGTTCTTTGGCTTTAGGATTCTTTAGGACCACTGGGATATGAATGACAAGGACCACAAGAATACAAAAAAGTAAATTTTCTTCAGCTTCAGATTTTAAAAAATAACTTCTGTGCCTGAGACAAAATGTTTTAAAAACAAGAAATAAAAAAACCCAAAATTTACCAAGAAACCAAACTTGCGAGCATTTTATTTTTTTAAAATTAGTTATTTTGAACTTACCACAAATACCAACTTTCCAACATTTGTCCAGGGAAAATCATACAGTAATTGCTTCTCTTCATCAAGATTCTGTGAAAAGAATTACAATGCATATGGAGCTATAGGATAAATAACATACTCTAAGAGAGCTCTAAAATCTCTCCTAGAAAACTAAAATTCAGTAATTAAAATCTGAAAGACTTTTCAAACTCTCTTTGGAAAAGTAGAGACAGTAATTAAAAGATTGGTGATAAAATTCTACAGCATTTGGTTCCTGTGTGACTGCATTAACTGGCCGTTTTAAGGGAATCTTTTCCCTTCTGGCCTATCCATAAATTTAAATAAGAAGTCCAAAAGACTCAGGCATTCCAGAAAGTGGTAAGGGACTGACTTTCATAATTGGATATGCTGCCTACATCAAAGATAAGACATCCTCAGAGCATCCTAACATCCTGTGAGAAGATAGTCTTCCTCCCTGTAGGGTAACGGCATCCCACCTGCAAAAGGATACAGTTACTGTGTTTTCCAGGGACAAATTTTATCACAAAAGTGCAAAAGAAACTAAAACATCTAGCTAGGCTCCATATTAAAATGCCATTTTTCTCTCCACACTTATTAACTGCTCCATGGGATAAAAGAGAATATTGACAATCAATGGCACACAAAGAAATGTTAGGGTGTTAACGATCTGTTAGTGATATGGTGGGGAGGAATCGGGGCCAATCTTTGGCTTGTTTTCTGCTACAGGGAACCCACTCTTGTCAAGGATCAGGTTGAGTCACTTCACCCAACCTATGCCATTAACATCTGCGCAAGACAACAGGAAACGACTGGGAACAGACCACACCAGCGTGCTCTAAATGTAAGACACGGTCAATACCAGCTGGCACTTATTTCTCATTTACCAACCTGAAAAATCTGTATTCCTCGCATGGTCAATCCGAGCGTCAGTGAAGCTTCAATCTCCCTTTTATCCTGTTGGAATAAAACTTTATGAAAAAGCGTATTTTTCTGAGTGAATACTTCAATAATGAATACTTCGGCATTCAAGAAACAGAAAGATTCTGTGACTGGAGAGCATCTGACTTATAATAACTTTGCTCAAGTCTTCCCACAGCCTTAGTTTCCTACAAGATTTAAGAAAATCACAAGCACAAGCTAGATTAGTAATGCTATATTATACATTCTGTATCCTTGAGTTCAATATTTCATTATACATACTTCTACTCTGACAATATTCTAAACACTCATGCTATTGAGAACTCTAGGATGCAAAACTATTTTTGCTGCTTTTGCATTATTTGATTTATTTTTCACCTTTCATCTTAGGCTTACTCTCTCCTCTGATGTTAGAATATTGAATCTAATTTCAAGTTATAGTCTGAGATGTATCAAACTTTATGTTTAAAACAGGACTAATTTCCCAGCTCCCTGAAACCAAAATTACAGACAAATGACTAAATAGTTATGACTCTCTCATGACAACAGATAATAAAATTATCTTTTATATTCAGTTTGGAAATATGTATTTTTAAGAAGTTCAATTATCACTTGCCAGTATGATACACATTCTACCAGTTAAACTGTAAAATGTAAAAATGACACTACAGCAACCATAAGGAAAAAAATTCTACAATTAAAAATGTACTCTAAAATTTGGCCACATCTTTTATGTGCTCATCTGTAGTAAATACACTTAAGGTATGAAGTTCAAAATAGCATAATAAAAGTTACTAAATAACTAAAGTATTTTCATCAAGAGGTATCTTGAAGCAATAAACGGATGTGTGCCCATCACTATGTTTAATGTCATCTTCCCTGATGCCACCGGAAGAGATATTTTTAGAAAATGCATCCTTACTTGGCATAAAGAAAAAACATAGCCTATTTTCAGTATTTGGACTATTCTTGTCCAACTCATATATTTTTTATGTCAGAAAGGCACATATAGTGTAAGATTAACAGGAGAAACCAATCCATCATTATTTAATCTGTGGTCAAGTTTCCATCCCAGGCTGTACTGACTGCTTTCTCAAATAAGACTGTGCTCATAAAAATGCTGGTAGCTTACATGTGAAGTGTGGAGTGTGTGGAGGAAGAGGCACAAAACCGCTTTTTTTTTCCAGAATGCTCCCTGCCCCCTTATTTCATAAGTAAACCCTAAATGCAGCAGATTTAATGGCTGCCTCTTGATTTCTCCAAAGGATAAAAACTGCCCTTCAGATGATGATATCTGCTCAGCCACTTCACTCACATTTTTATTAAATATCTTGTTTTAAGCACACAAGTGAATCACTTTCTGTGTCATGTAGTAAGAACCACACACTAAGCAAAATTTAAAGATTAATTTTTGCAAAAAGACAAATTGGGCCTTTTTTTTTCACTAAAAGATTATTAACAGGATTCTTTAAAATGGCAAGTTTCCCCAGCAAGTAAGACAAGCAATGAATATTTACTGGGCATCTGCTCAGGTACCAGGCAGCCCGCCCTGCTGTTCCTCCAGATTCATGACCTCACGGACTCCTCCCAGCTTCCGGAGTACACAGCACTGCTCCCACTGAATAGACGGCCCAAGATGATAGTTACAGTTGCTCGAGACCCCAGCAATCATGAGTAGTAACATAGGGCCTCTAAGTGACATCTAATTCCAAAGCCAGAATCTTTCCAATGTATTATTCATACTTCTAATACATTTAAAAATATAAGCTTATTATTAAAAATGTTACTTGTTGGCGTTTTTCTCATGTAAAATGGGGTGGGGGGTGTCACAAGTTAAATCTCTTAAGGGGGAAAAAACCCCAAATCATTTTTTCAGGGATTTACTCCAAAGGCTCCTATGGTCCTTAATTGTGCTTTTCATGTCACAGTACATCTTTTGGGGAGCAGGAAGGAAGGAGGGAAGGAAGAGAGGGGAACAGAGAGACCATCTGCTGGCCCCTTGTTAAATTTTCGGAACCAGCTAGGAAAACTACCCAGCACTGCAACCAAATACAGCCCAGTCTCCAATGGTTTAGTTATGCTAATCTGAACATTAAGGTACAACAGAGATAACAAACACAGTGATAGTGGGTAACCACAGCAAGCTTAACAGCATGCTGCAGGTGGACACTGTTTTAGGTACTCTTTATCCGGTGATTTCTTCAGTCTGCTGCTATCCTAAGGAGTAGGTTCCTGTCCCATTTAATTATGGGGACACTGAAACACAAAAAGGTTAAGTAGCTTGCCTAAGGTCCTACAGGAAGGAGCCAAGCTGGGATTCAATCCCAGGCAGTTAGGCCCAACTGATCATGTTCTGAACCACGTCACCCCCTTTGGTTTGCAGACAGTAAGTGGGAATTCAGGAGTTCCTGCCAAGGAGGTGCACCTGTGGAAAAGGGAAAGGGGTGCAGAACGGAAGAGAAGAAGATGATAAATAGTGTGAGGGCTCCCTGCCGGCCATCCTCTCTACCCCATCCCTGTTTAGGTATCTGACTTGTGGCCCACACTAGAAAAATGAGCCTAGGGATGCACAGGATACAAACGCCTAAGGACTTCAGAGAGTGAGGAGAGTGCAGAGGGTGGTTCATGCACAGGTGCTCTGTCACCAAGAGGCCTGGGCCGAATCTGGCTCTGCCACTTGGTTTTACCATCTCAGGCGAATCTTAACCTCCTAAACCTCAGTTTCTTGGTCTGTAAAACAACGACCACAGTTTCACTCTTACAAGGATTTAAAAAAGAAGAAAAGAAATACAAAGTGTGCCCAATAAACACAGTACTCCATTAAAACGAGCTGTCCTGGTGGTGCTCCTGAGACTGACCTGTGCGCCGCAGGCGTGGCTTCACTTTGAGCAACGTTAAACACCATTGATCTAGTAAGTTGCAAATGTTACTCCCCAAAGCAGAGAAGCACATTTGGAGTGGAGAAAAAAACAACTATTCCATTGTCACTAAAAAGCCAGATCCATAATTTGTAACCATTTGTTTATCTCACTATTAAAATCATAAAAAGAAAAAAGAGGAATAAAGGCTCCATCCCCATTCCAGCCCAGAGGAAAACACCACTGCTTAGCAGACACACCCATCAGTGTCTTTAATTGCTCTGTGAGCGTGCCTCCAGGTCCCGAATTGACTCGAAATGTTTACCTTTCAGGTTATTTTGACTTTAGTGGGGAGTCAGGAGTTGCATGGTGCCAGATCCCCTGAAGGAGGTGGATGAGGACACACTGTAATGTTTTTATGAATCTGCCTTCCCACCGCATGGCGCTCAGCAGCAGCACTCACCTTATTTCTGATTACACCTCCTACAGATACTTGTGAAAGAGAACTTTCAGAACTGCTTCTGAAAGTGGCAAGAAAGGTCAAGTGTGTTCTGAGTGAAGGGAGTATTTTAAGGGGATTCATAACAATGTGTCTTTTACTGTAATAACTTTTAAAAATTCAAATAGTCACTGTATATTTTGATCACCCCTTTTATGTTAACAAAACATTAAAAAGCCTGTTTAACAGGGCTTGCTAGTGCATGCCTGTAATCTCAGCAGTCTGGGAAGTTAAGGCAGGAGGACTGCCAAGTTCAAACCCAGCCCAGGCAACTTAGTAACTTAGTGAGATACTGTCTCAGCACTGTATAAAAAATTTTTTTAAAAGGCGTGGGGATATAGCTTAGTGTGAGGGCCTGGGTTCAATCTCAAGTACCGGGGAGACAAAAGCTTGTTTTACAAGGAAATTGCAATTCTGAAGATGACTGCAATCCTAATCGAGAAGTTTTGTACCTTATACAATCTGTAGTAATGAACGGCGACATCATCTAGTCGGACAGCTTCTTTGATATATTTAAGATGGGCCTCGGAAGCAGTCAGTGCAAACTGATCTTTGTGCATGTTTGGAATGTGCTTCAGGATGTAGTCCTTCCCCCTCTTGGAAACAACCTGTGGGGACACAAGGGGGTGTGCAGTAGAGCATTTGTTGGAGGCATGTAAGTACAACTCCCACCCCAAAATGACGAAAGGGTGAGAGTTTAAAATAGGCCATGCAATCCAGCTAATTTCCCCCAGAAAATTCCCACTTTTATTCTGTTTTCACCATCTGTTGTGTTACTGGCTGAATCAGCTAATACTATAAGCTACAAACTCCACTTAGGGGTAGTGCTGCATATCTAAAAAGAAAAATGACAAGAAATGGGGAAAACAGGTTCTTGTAGCTGTAGTCAAAAGAAAAATATCCCATGCAAACGTGCGTAACTTTGGGCACATCATAATTTACACCGGCGAAATGACTGGTACCCTGAAATATACCCACTGTCAGCACATCTGCTGGTTCTGGATCCTACTTAATTCTTCTGAAATTACAGCCACAGAGCCCACAGAGTGGGGGCTTTCAGTGTTCATCTGGAGAAAGCAGGGGACAGGGAGGAATTCTCTGCAACAGTGCTGCCTGGAGTACGAACCCCGGAAACAGGAGGCGCTATGCGGGGTGAGGAAGGCATGGACACTGAGGAAAGCTGCCTTCCATTCCTCACTGGGTGGGATGGAGAAGGCACAGTGGACAAGTAGGAGTTCACAGGACTCCAGATTTTGGGCTCTGGGCCCCCAGAGAGACAGGAACACAGAGCTGGGTTTACATCTTAGTGAGGTGGGAAGATGAATTTGATGTAGAGCACTGTGAGTTTGAGGAGCCTGTGGGTAAAGAGCTATCCCACAGAAACAGAGCTGGGCGTTCCCTGCACATACACGGCTGTTAAATGCATGGGTTCGGATGAAATCCTCCCAGATGTGAGTGGTTAAGCACAAAGTACAGCAGCAAAATTCAGGCAAAGGAGTGAAAGGTGTTCTCTGGACTTAGCAACGCTGAGGTCACCGGTGACCTTACCAACGGCACTGTGAGTGACGGGTAGGGAGAGAAGGTTGGTGGAAGTGGCCTGAGGAACACGCACAGGAAGCAGCAGCCAGAAAATCCCATGCACACTGCTTTTTCCAGCTTTCTTGAGGAGGCAGGCAGAGGACGTGGCTCCTCTTTCTCGAGGGTACATGGGTAGCCTCAAGTTTAATGCGTTCTAACCGAAGGAGAGAGTGAGTTTGAGGAGGGGCAACGCTCCAGAAGAGAGAAGACACAGCAGAGACTCGGGGGAGGATGAGACAGAAACAGGAGGGCTGGGACAGCTCAGGCAGGACAACCTGCACTTTCCCACTGAGGGAAGGGGCGGCTCCTGTCCTGTGAGGAAAGGACATGCAGTTATAGTGAGAAGCTGACTTAGATTTATTTTCTCAGCCCAGGAAAGCTGTGAATGAGCTCATCCTTGAAAAAATAATGTTTTTCTCTTCAAAGGGGGAAAGTGCAGCTCCACAAAAGGTGGATGAGAGGGCTACAGTCAGGTACGTACATGCCGGAAGGAGGCTGGCAAATTCAAGCTCCACCACACCGAGGAGGGGCAGGCCCTGCCCGCCAGCCAGCTGCAGACCAAGTACCTCAAGACATCACGTGTGTCTGGCTCTCAAGGGTTAGGCTTATACCTGGGTATGGTGAGTACCGGCTGTAGAACATGTGGGTTCCCACCCTTGAAGGAGCCCTAGGAGCTGGAAACGTGCTCGAGAAAACCCTCGTTAAAGTTTGGAAACAGTGCCTACCCAAGACGGGAAGTAAGCCTCTGGCTCGAAGTATTTTCCATAGTGCTTATTCCTTTTGAAGTTCCCGAGATCAGCCTGCAGGGCGAAGGCTGCCAGTAGGAAGTAGGCCTCCTCTCGGAGCACACACTGGGAGTGAAGGACTTGTTTTCTCAGGTGCCAGTAATAATAGTATCTTGCTGCTCTGTCACTGGAAAAATAAAAGAAAGCAGAAGTCACCTTCTGGAGGAACAGTGCAATGGCATGTAAACAGGACCCGAGCGCTGCTCTCCACTGGGTGACAGCAGCCTGCTGCTGCCCCCTCCCAACGCGTGGACACAGGGTGGCTACAGCTAGGCCCTGCGTCACTCAGGTCACGGGAGCCAGAACACCAAGTCAGGCTACCCAGGCTGCAGAAATAACCTCTCCTAAGGCTCACCGCACTTGATTTTCTCAGGGAAGGGCAAAGGGTCTGAAAAATTCCACTCCGACATGGTAAACACGCCACGGAACATACAGAATATTAGAAGCCCACATGTTTGTTGTCTGTGTTTTAAAATTTCTGCCACAACCACACTGTACATGGTATAAATAAGAATAATACTAGGGGTAATCCTGGCTTTCATCTTTTGCCGTATTTTTTTGTTTTGTTTCTTAGCTAAGCACATTACAAATATTCTAAGGCTCTTTTTCAAATTTCTGTTTATATGCCCTCCTGGGGAAAAAACCCTGCATATCTGGAGTCCTTTTTGTGCCTGTATTTCTCTGAGAAGGAGTGAACTAAAAGCTATCCTCAAATCTGTTTTTTGTTTCATATTAAGTGAATGTTACTCCATGAGTGTATTTTCATAAGCACCCCTCACAACCACCACGATTGTCTCTACAAAAAGAAATGCTCATCGCAAAATCCACTGAGGTCAGGAATACAGTCCCTGTTAAATATGTTTAGTAAGAGTGCAGAGTAGGGAAAAACCTGCTTAAAAAAAAAAAACAAATTTCATGGGTAAAAGACATTTGTGATCAAAGTAAAAAATGCAACAAAAAATGTGCGCATGGATTTGTATTTTAACGAGCTGATTTGTAAACCAGTACTGTAAGCTGATGGTTTACCTGACACTCAGAGTTTATCAGTAGATGATAATAAAAAAGGGTTCATTTTAACCAAGCATGAAGAGTTTAAACATAAAGCATTTATAGAATTCTTTCCCCTGGGACAGAGTACTTTTCAGAGCACACCTTTTCATAATGATGGCCACACATTGTTTGTACTGGTTCATCCTCGGGGAAAAGACAGAAGTAAAAGGATGAATTAAACATTCATTGAGCCCCAGGGAGTTAATTAGTAGTTAACTAATAAATTTTCTTTCTTTCCAGGGCATTTCTTACTTATAGGTAAATTAGAAGAAAAATCTATTTTATATAAACTGAGCCTAATGAAAGTTCCTAAGCCTTAAACAAAATTCTTTATGGGCTAATGTTTTTTGGCTTTAATTTGCATTTGGTAGTGATATAAAATACTATCAAGAGCTAATCTGTCATGTAACTCACTAGACAATGTATATTTTTGTCTTTCAAATGGTCTTTACCAACAAAGTAAAGCTAAGGGTGGTGGTGCACGCCTGTAGTCCCAGCACTCTGGAGGCTGAGGCAGGAGGATTGCTGTGAGTTTGAGGTCAGCCTCGTCTATAAAGTTAGTTTAAGGCCAATCTGAACGGCATAGTGAAACCAACCCTGTCTCAAGAAGACCAAAAAGACCAAAAAAACCAAAACAACTACAACGAAAAAACCCCCAAAAACAAAAACAAAAAAACAAGGTGAAACAGTTCATGTTTCCTACATTTTTCTCTTAGGCAAGAGAAGCACCTCTGAAAGTTTTCCAGCACTGAACCCTCTTATGCAAAGGATTAAACTGGCGATTCTGAATCTGTATCATGAGCACAGTTCCTGCACCCATCTCTAGAAAAAAGAATCAATTACCTGCCCTTGCCAAAATCTCCCTAAGAGTACAAGAGGTCCATTGGGCTTAATCCTAGCTTTAAAACAATCAGTCAGAATAGATGCAAGATCCCAAATATGAGAGGAAAACCAGGCTGAAATGAAGGCCCTGCTCCATTTCCTATCCCACTCACCCCATCCCTGGAAAAAAAATAATCCTTTAATGAATCTCTCCACTCTTTACAAAACTGCCAGTCCCTTCTTTATGACTATTTGTCAGTGAAAATGTGGAGTGGAGAAAATAATAGTTAGTGAGGCTGCTAACATTTTCATTCATAATTCACCATTACCATTTATTTATTCAACAAATATTTATTCAGTGCCTCCTTTACCTATGTTTTAGGGCTCAAGGGTATATGAGAGTGCAGAAAGACGAAAAAGAAAATAAAAATTGCTACTGTTATGGAGTGCATATTCCCAGAGGTGGAATGGTAGAACTTTGGTGTATTAGAAGAAGTGCTATGGAGAAACAACAGGCTTACAATTTCTCCTTGTCCTCATACCTGATCAATCTGCCATTTTCCACGTAGTATTGTACTCGGAAATGTATAATCATGGGAGGCCCAAACTGGTCGATGCCCTAAAACAAAGATACACATAAAAACCAAGCTATTCAAAACAAGTTACTTCAAAAATGAGTCTCAAAAGCCACCATACTACCACTATTTACTGGATGATTTCTCAACAGTGAAGGGCTTTCTCTAATTGTAATAAGAGGGAACCCCGAACACAGAGCAACTGTCCCCTGTGGACTGCAGGTTCCTACAAAACTAGGAAGTTACAAAGCAAAACAGGGCACCATCCCTCTGTCTGATTCCTATTCAGAGTAATGCCAATGACAACATACGGGAGGATAAAAATAAATGCCATGGAAATTTCTAGCTGAGATCCAGCTCCCTGCTCAGCTCTGTCCCCTGTGGTGACCATTTGCTCCTTATTACAAATGTCCTCTTGTTCCCTTGACATTCCACATACCAAATTCTGTTTGTTTACTCAGACAGGCATGCTTCTTACTCTGCAGCTGGCTTTGAAGTTGCCTTCCCCTTTATCCTGAGAATTGTTAACTATAAATTGGAGGATCTGGGATTAGGTATTACGACTTTATTCTGACTTAGGAGAGTGATCTTGGAAACGCTATGCAGATTTCCTTGTGAGTGTTCTCCCACATAAACAGTTTATGATTACTAAATAAGGGCGGTAATACAACGAAGTACGAAGGATCAGACATACATACAGTAAAAGTAGCATCAAATGACTAATAAATCCCAGCACAAGTTGTGATAACACAGCCACAAAAGAGAAACAACTTTTCCTTTTTTTCCAAAGTGTTATTCCAAGATTGCTAAGAAATTTATTAGCCAATATTATTTATACACATCCAAAATATATCATTATACTTAACTGACATTTTACAATTTATAATTCCTTTTCCCAATCTTTACAGAACAAAGTACTGCTTAGGATTTTTTTCTAATATACAAAAATTAGGATAAAATTTTTAAAAAAAATCAAAATAATTTTGCTCATAAATGTAACCTCACCCAAGTGACTTCGTATTGGCGTACCTTGCTGGCTTCTTTCTTCCATTCTTTTGGACAATATTTATAAAGCTTTTGCTGCATTTCCATATATACATGTTCATTATCTGTACATTAAAAAAAGGAGATAAGACACTAAAGCAAAGATACATTTTTAAAAGAATATTCAAAGATACAACTTTAAAAAGGCCTCAAGGTTTGGGAATGCAGTCTAAATTTATACCACCAAGAAAACTCAGCAAGATATAAAAAAGATAAAAGGTTCTGTGGGCTAAACGTTAATGAGGTTATGAATTATTTTGCTTCTGCAATACAGAACTCATACTGTTGATACGTGTAATGTTTAGAAGAAACACTATTTTCCAAGTCCTGCTTTCTTCCCACTTTCTAGGGTCATTATCATTTAAGAATCTAACTTCCAGCACTGTAGTATTAGTCTTAGAAAAACATGCATCTGTTTAGCTCACAAAAGACTGCTCTTATAAGTGCAAAAATAGTGAAAATGGGTGGAAACATCATCTTAACTGCTATGTAACACACTAGGTAGCACTGATGATGGCCCCTTTCTGCCCTCCAGATTGTGAAGAATAATTTTCAAGAATATTCATTCTCTGTCACCCACAGCAAAACACATGACAAAATGATAAACCATTACTTGCACTGTCTTTGGAACCAGTCTTAGGGAAGAAAAGAACCTTACGAAAAACAACCATGAATGCCAAAATACTCCTTTCAAGGGACTCATATTTATAAGGCGAATAGGCTGTGATGTAAAAATGATCTAAACATGAAAACAAGCTGGTAAAAAAAACACAAAATTTTTCATTTTTCCTAAAGAGAATCTTGTAAAAAAAGAAAAAAAAAAGACAGAGACGAACTTACAAGAAAAGCCTTTAGCATCCCTAGAGTTTTAAATCTGACTTTTAAAAATGCCAACTCCTTTCTCTAACCATCACTAAGGGGGCATCCACTTGAAATGTTCTGCATAAAAATCCATCTGAAGGAAAGTGCATCTCTGACTACTCCAGGAATAAACAAGCCTGACTACGCTGCCGGTTCCTGGCTGAACGCTGGGGTGTGACCGGGAAGAGTCAGAGTAAGAAGGGTACAGCTCCCCTTTGGGGATAGGTGGAATTTTCAGTTACCTAGTTTGAATGAAAAGAAGTCCCGGAGTCAGGAAAAGGGGGATGCTACCCAAACGCAGTTATCAGTTAGGTGACACTATCTCCCATTTCTCCTTTCCACTCATTAGACAGGAAATGGACAAGACCAGACAACGCTCCTGTTGAACCTTATCTGTGTTTGGTTTGAGTTTCCATATGAAGCAGCAACATAATGAACAGAAGCAACACTGCTGGCCAGGGAGCCATATATACGTGCTTCAACTACCATTATATTTCTACTACCTGCAAGTGTGATCAGAGCTTTATAGCTAAAGACTCTGGAGACCCCAGAGAGCTGAACATGTGCAGGCTGCTGCAGCGCAGCGTGCCCAGAGAGGAAGCGGACACTCTGTATCCCTTCTCCCAACCTCCCCGTGCTGTTCCTTATCTGTGTCCTTCCTAATGTCGTCTGCAACACACTGGTCAGTGGTTAAACAGATAAGCTGAGTTTCTTACTGCTGAAGAAAGCAGTTATAAGTAAAAGAAAAAGGAAGAGCTAAAATGAGTCCAATGAAATTGATTAGAAATGTTAGTATAAACTCACGTGTATGAAGAAAAATATGTGCCATCATCACCGAAAGTTAATAACATCATCACCAAAAAAAGACAAACAGATATCATGTATCTCTTAATATTATACACTGAGAATGGCAAAACATCACCGATCTAGTATTTCTGCCAAAAATATGCAGAACTGGAATTCATCAAGAGGAAACAACAAAGAAACCTGAATAGAAGGGCATTCCCAATGTAACTTGACTGCACTTTGCAAAAATGCCAAGGTCACAAATGACAAAGATTAAGGAATTATGCCAGAATAAAAAAGACCTGATATGTAACAACCAAATGTAACTTAGGGTCCTACATTTTCTTTGCCTATAATAACAATTAGCAAAATTAAAAGCCAGCCACTGTCATACCAGTGTTGATTTCCTGATTATGATATTTACACTGTGATCACACAAGAGAACATTCTTGTTTTTAGAAAACACACACTGAGGTATATAAGCAGGTAGGTAGGATGGAAGGAACAGATGTGGTAAAATGTTAGATGCTGAAGAATCTGACAGAAGGCATATGGGAAATCTCTGTAGTATTCTTGCAACAAATAACTGAAATTACTTTTCAAAAAGTTCCAAAATTGGGGTAGTATTCAGATGCATAGCATTTATATGACATTAGAGAGGAACAGTAAAATAGTTGCATTGTTAGATGTTAATGTTTAATATTCCTGAGACTATACCTTTTGCAAATACTCAATCTACAATGACAATTTAGGTGTCAATCTAAAAATGTATGAGAGTTTTTAGGGCAGTAAAACCCTTCTGTATACTAAATAGTGGCTACATGACATTGTATTGTATGTCCAAACCCACAGAATATAAACACCAGCTGTGAGCCCAAATGTGCACTACAGTCATTGGGCGGTGACAGCGTGTTGATGCGAGCTCAGCAGTTATACCAAGCGTGCAACTCTGTGTAGGACGCTGGGAGGAAAGCGGTGCGTGTGAGTGTGGGGAGTGCATGGGAACTTTCCATACTTCCTGTTCCACTTTCTGTGGGCCTAAAACTACTCTTAAAAAATATAGCTCCTAAATAAAACGTTCTTAAGTGCGTCAGTGCTGCCATGCTAGCAGAGCAGTAGTGTTGACTTGGCTTGTGAAGAAACTGACAATGAGAGAAGTTGAGCGCTGCATCCAAGGCCACGAGGCTGTTAGTGGTAGAACCAGAATTAGAACCAGGACGGCTGATTCCTGTTCCAACGTTCTTTCACCACACTGCAATCTCCTTTAAGGAGCACGTCTTAAAAACTCTATTTTGAGACCTGAGGAAGCTCTAAACTGGTTTTCTTGAACTGACTTGCCGAGCAACAAAGATCAACAATCTGGCTGCGGCTGGTGTAAGGATTAACTGGAGTATAGATGAATAAGGTCCTTAGAATCTGTAGGGCTTCTGGCTGCCCCTCGGCTTGTCCTTGCAAGGTGACTGATGTGCGTACGAACACAAGGACGGAGCTTAGCGTTTGCGCTTTTATTGCTTTGACTACCAGGGGAAGAACCTGAAGGGCGACTGGCTGATTCACTGGGCCCTGATGTGTCTGTCCCCTGGTGTGTTCTGTGGCCTCTCGTGGCACAGCAGCTGAAAATAGCTCACATTTGAGCAGAAAAGGGGCCTGACTTCTCAGTTTCCCATGACAAACTTTTCAACCTGCTGGATGTAAGCATCTTATGGTAGTGATCAGATTCTCCAGTATCTTCAACTTTTCAACATAAGCCAATTCCAGCAATAGAAAATAATCCTCACCCAAGTACAGAATTAAATACATTTCACAAAAAATCTTGACAAAATGAGCAAACGTGAGTTTTTTTCATATATAGAAGACTAAATTAGAGAAATTTCAGAAATATGATTTGAAAGAAAAAACGCTCATAAAAAAAAAAAAAAGGCCACAGGTAAGCCTTAAGAATTTAACTCTAAGGCATTATGGGAGAAGAAAGCTTATACGGAAGAAATTCTTTCCATGGAAATTTCTTCACATACAGAATAAAGAAGAAAATGACCCTAATATTTCTAAGCCATATAGTCTGACTTGCAGGAAGAGAAGAGAAACAGAAAACAGGATTCAAGCAATAAGATCAGTGTTATACTGTGTTGTTAACAGCAGAAGACTTGAATAGAGGAGTTATTTTTTTAACTTCACATTATTTTATAACATCAAAAATCATAAAATAAATTATAAAAATATCTAGTATACTTTTTTCTTAGTTTCAGCTGTTCCCCGAATACAAAGAAACAAAATCACTTGGTTCATTAAAATTTAAAAGAGCAGATACATTAAAATCTAGATTCCTAAAGAGAAATACATTTTTAAGTTCAAAGTATAATACATACATGAACTAAAACCCTAAATCTTATAAGAACTACATAGTGTTTGGATTAAAAGCTATATCTAAGACTAAAAATGAAAATGAATTTACGTGTATTTTGACAATTACAGCTTTATAACAATATGCTACATTTAAGCTTATAAAAACATCACTTCTTCCGAGATAGTTGAGTAAATTCAACAGATACGGTACTATGACTTACTTTGTATAACACTGAGTCCGAAGAGGTGGCCATCCTTTAGCCGGAGCAGGTCACACACCTGGACCAGCAACTGTTGACACAGAATTTTAACCTGTAGAGGATAAGAAGGCACAATCTGAGCAAAAATTAAGTCTACGTGGTGAGCGACAATTGGGCAATTTAATGCATTGTAAATAGACGCCTTAATAGAACAAGCTGACATTAGCAAAACCACTGTTGGCTTATGGAAATCACTTTAATCTGTGGCTGTGTTTCAATAATGATTATCACAATATCAATTTTTACAACACGGTAACAAAGTCCGAATACAACCTTGCACAAGACTCATAAATCTTATGACATACAAATAAGGCTCTCCAATCATGCATATAAAAAGTGGGTATTTCAGAAGGTACCTGGAACAGCTTACTGTGATTACAAAAAGTATCCACTTGACAAGCACCTTTTTTTTTCTAAAAAATTTGTATTTATTTAAATTGATAAATAAAAATTGTATATACTATGTATAGCATGCTATTTACGTTATATAATATAGATATACAATATAGAATGGACAATTACATATGGAACACATATATATCACAGTTTTGTGGTAAAAATTTTTGTGGTAATCTAATTTCTGCAATTTTAAAGCATACACTATTGTTAATTATAGTCAATGTTGTACAATAGAGCTCTTGAACTTCTCCTTCCTGTGTTACTGAAATTTTGTATCCTCTGACCAACATTTCTCCAATCCCGGTCGCTCCCTGGCTTGGGTAACTACCACTTTAACTTTCTGTTCCCGAGTAACTTTTTGTAGATTACACATACAAATGAGATTGTGTATTATTTGTCTATCTGCGTCTGGTTTATCTCATATAATGTCCTTCAGGTTCACCCGCACTGTTGCAAATGACAGGATTTCCATCTCCTGGTTGAATACCACTCCATTCTTTTTGGTAACAGCTATTCTAACAGGTATGAGGTGACAGCTCACTGTGGTTTTCATTTGTATTTCCCTCCTGTTCGGTAATGCTACGCACATTCTCATATATTTGCGGGACATCTATATGTCTTCTCTTGAGAAATGTCTATTCAGGGTAATCGTCTTTTCAAGAAAAATTTTCTCAGTGGTCTACGCAAAATATTCACATACTAAAGAATGAGTGACTGGGTAGCTTTTATTTTCATCAGTGACTGGTTTTCTTTTTATTTTATTGGTACATTTTAGATATACACACTAGTAACATTCATCATAGGGAGTTTGTACCTATACAGGACATACGAGGCTTCTTCTCTTTTTCCCTTTCCCTTCCCCGCCCTTCCACCCCTCCATCTACAAAGCTTTGTTTCTATTTTTTCCTTCTTTTCTTTTCTGGTCCCATTCTTCCTTTCCCCCTCCCCCTTCCTTGTTCTCCTTCTCATCTCAACATTTTCTTCCCATCTCCCAGTATCTAGTATACGTTTTGGTCCTTTTTTACATTTTCAGTTTCTCACACCAGAGAAATCACGTGACATTTGAACATATGTTATCTCATTTATTTTTCTTAAGATATGGTCTCAATGGCTATTATCAACAAATCAACCAATAATCAATCACTATTATCATCCAGTATCTTTTTCCTTTTTTGAGTCCTCGTATAGTTCAATCATAAAACCTTTTTAACTTGGAACTAAGGAGATGAGTTATTCTGAGTTATAAAGACAGTTTCGATGCCCTCCCAAGTGTTAATAAAGTGTTGAGTGGGGCCTCCTTGAATTCAGAGTAACCGAAGTTTATAGAGTTGTGATTGACTTTAAAGAGATCACCCAGCTCAATTTCATTTATAGAAGTATAAAATGCAAAAAAGAAGTATAAAATATAACCCAGCTTAAAGTCATGTAGTTTTAACAATGGAAAAGGCAGCAATTCACAACACATTTGTGTATTAAAATATCTGTATATATGTGTACTAAAATATGTGCATTGTGATTTATAATTTTAGCCACACACGTTATTTCCCCGCTCATATATATTATCAGCTTTCTAATCCTTTCTTTAATGATGATGCCAATTACCATTCAAATTACTATAAAGGTAAAGTTAATTCTGAATTAATGATTTTTCAATCATACCTTAACATGGAACCTCAATTACAAACATAAAGCCATGCAAAGGTCCCTTAAAACTGAAAGCCAAATAATTCGGAACTAGTAGTAATTTCAGTAACAGTGAGAAAGATGGTTTACTGTTCTTTTCCACATTCATCACCAACTGGTAACTAACCTAAAATACCTTACTCACTGGAAAGACCAAGACATTTAAGGTCAAGGTAGCACATATACAGTTGCTTAAGAAGCACTAGGGAGTCAGTGAAGCAAAGATAGTGTCTTATTTTATATTCAAGGTATACAGTATGTACTCAGTAACTGTCTAATGAGTGATTCTCTGGGGACTCCTCATATCTTCTTTCTGTTCCAGGACAATAAACTTCTCCCTAACTTGCTGAGGAAACCATGTTATGAAAGTTCCATTTAGCAATTTAGGGTAAATATAGCAGTGCAATCCCACCACCACCACTGGGAGAACACATTTGCTTGTGAGAAATCATTATTAACCCTGTGCACAGCTACCCTGATCGAACTCACGTGAGATCTTTGGTTTCTGTTACAAAGAAAGACCTATGTTATTTGCAACATTTGCTAAAAAGACTCTGGATTGTGAGTTCCACCATAATTCTAGCTTATGAATAAACTTACATAATAAATAGAATGACAGAAAACAGGTAAAGGTATCACATGTCATAGATAAGTCTTAAGTTGAACTAAATGCTACAAATTTGAGACTTAAAATATTGTATTATTCTATAGTACTTTTAATCCTTAGTTTGACTATATTTAATCCTCAGTTTGACCTACTTGGACACAAAGCAGACAGGATAAACTAACAACAGTTAAAATTTCAAACCACAAGCTAATTGCGTATAAGATAAACTGTTGTAACGTTGTGTGACTCTTGACCAAATAATGTTGTGCATTTCTCCCATGCATCACATGTAATTATTATTGTTCCGCTAGTTTAAATCAAGTATTTGGAGCCTATTGATAAAGTTCTTTAACAACCACCAAGTAAGTATAGTATTCTTGTTTAAAAACTGTAATTAAGTAAGGATGTGGCTTTAAAGTCTTACCTGCTGGGAAAACAAGCTGGAGCTTTCTGTATTTGCATAGTATGAGTCTTTAAAACCACATTTTTAACTGATTGTGAAATTCTCTCAACTTCTCTAATCTTCAGAAGCAATGGGAAATTTAAATAGTGCTACACAGCATGAAGTATTAACAGAGTTAACGCTTTATCTAAAAACACACTTAATATGGAACTTTAAAACATTTAGTTCCAAATATGTCAATGGCTTGTTATTGAACACGAATGTTTGAAACATTTTCCAGAAAAAAAGAACTGTTCACTCTAGTCTTAGTGAATATATACGTTCTTGGCCATAATTTCTTTCACTCAAAATTTCATGGTTCTCTCACTTACCAGATTTTATAAGTGTCCATAAATTTAATATTTGCCTGATGAATACAACCATTTAAAACAGTCCTGGGTATAACTCAGGGAGATTTCAAAATGACCAAAATGCTAAATCTAGGCCACATGCAGAAAGGCAACATTCTATCAATTATACTTTTCAGGAAACAAACTTTCTCTGTTTTAAAAAAATGTATAATGATGAAAACAGACTATGGATGGAATAGTTTTTGCTATAATCTGTTACATTAAACTCTGTAAGCACCAATTGCTATTTTCTGACTGCAAAGATAATACTTTGTAGAAGAAGAGTGGCCCAGCAGCCTTGACTTATTTTCTAGCCGTGGGAAAGCCTCCACACTGCCGTCCCTCCCTGGGTCCAAGTGCTCGCTGCAGAGGGGCTTAGGCATGGCCTAAGAGTCTGTGCGCCCTGTAATGAGAAACGTTATAGACCTACGTGGGGTTCAGATTCCTGGCTTCAGGGATAGAGCATGCTAGTGAAATGAATGAACAGCTCAAAAAACAAAAGGAAGTAAAATGTTAGGGACTCACTGAGCAAGCTCATGCACCTGGCACTATGCAAGTAACACACTTAAATCCTTGCCATGTTCCGTGAGGAGCATATTATCCTGACTTCATGGAGGAACCAAGCCAACCCATAAGAAACACGTTCAAAACTGAAGAGTAAACTGAGGCATGGGAACTGCAACCCAGGCCCTGGTGACTCTAAAACCCACCTTATTCAGATATTGGGCTTTACAGCCCATGACCATAATTCTGACTACCTTAGAGAGGTTATTATATTAATTTTGCAAAAACAGGGAATTTATTTCTGCTTATGGATTAAAATACAGGTTGAGAAACCTGTATCCAAAATACTTGGGATCAGCAGGGCGTGGTGTCACATTCCTTAATCCCAGCACTTGGGAGGCTGAAGCAGCAGGATCAATGTGAATCCAGGCCAGCCGTAACTACATAATGAGATCCTGTCTAAGAACAGAACAAAACAAAACAAAAAACAAAACTTGGGATCAGAAGTGTTTCAGATTTCAAAGCTCTTCAGATTCTGGAAAATCTGTATAAACTTTATTAGCTGAGCATTCCTAATTAAAATCTACAGACTTTCAGATTTTGGACTTTTGGATTAGAGATGTTTGATCTGTAAGAACATCAGCTACCACCTATGTACCAGAAGTTATGCTCTGTGTTAACGCTGAATTCTCACAATCACCTTGTATCACAGACACTATGCTTACTTGACAGGTATAGATGCTGAGGTTGAGAGAATTCATACATACAATGAATGGTCTAAATGAATGGTCTAAAAGTCATTCAGTCACAGGATTTGAGTTTAGTCTGTATGTTTTAAGTATATCCAAGTCTTTTCACAGATGCAAAAAGGAAAGCAATACAGATTAGTACCTACTAAGCACCAGGTCCTGGGAAATTTACAAGTGGAAAAGGCAGTGAGCTTAAGTAACTTGTCCAAAGTTCACAAATCTAGTGAACTATAGAGTTAAAATATCAATAATCTCAGAACATTTCTTAACAGTGGTGTTGTTAATTATATCATTACTAATAACAACCACTTTCTTTGTGCTCATTAAGCATCACACACTGTTGGAAGGGCCTGCCCACCAACCATGTGGAAAGTACAATCCAGTACACTGAGTGCTGGAGAGTGAAAGCAACTAGGTGGTGCTGGGGTATAGGTCTGTGCTGAGGATTTTTCAGTATTCACAGGCCCTGCTGAGGTATGTGGTTACATGCAGATTCCTATGTCCTATCCTAGACTTCCTATGTCACCATTTTCCAGCAGTAAAACCCAATAATTTGAATATCTAGCAAGCTTCTATGTATACTAAAGTTTCAAAACCACAGATCTATGGGAATAAGTGAATTGGCTACTTTCTAGTTTGTTCTTTAAGAGATTCTAGCATAAACTTCTTCTAAAATTATAATTTCCCCTTATTATTCTTCACTAAGTCACATTAGACTTCTCCACGGAACAAGAGTTAATCAGAATTTTGTCCCATAGCTTGTATGTATGTATGTATGTATGTATGTATGTATACACACAGAAAGACATGTGCATATATTTTACCAGTAAAAAGAACCAGAAGTGAGAGAAGTTTCTTAAATGCCTATACTATGTCTTCTATGTATATTTTGAAAATGTAAAGAATACCTTTTATATAAGTATATACAAGAAGTCAGCCTATGTGGGGTTCATGTATTCAGAATCATATTTTCAATATATTTTGCCAGGGCCTACATTGAAATGCTGCCTATTTTTATTATTAAGATTAAAGAAATGCTGCAAAAATAAGTTTATCACGTCACACATCAAGAAACGATCATCCTAATTAGGAGCATAATTCATGACTAGACATTCTGCCCAACATATAAAACCCATGCAAAAAACAATAGATTCTCAGATAATCCCCACGGGCAAACACAGGTTACACAAGATAATCAAGAAACTATTGATTGTTAGTATAAAACTAAAAGGATTATGGTTATAAGCAGAACATTTTTCTATCTAAACTGTGTAATGACGCTATTTACATGTCATATAAACTCATAAAACTTTTAGAAAAGTTATTTTATCCAATAACTGAATTAAAAATATAGTAGTATATAGAAGGAAGAAAACCACTTAAAGACATTGCTCTAAGGCAAATTTTCTCCCTTATATTCCATTAGAATACAATTAACTGAAAGAAAAAATATAGAAATTGACAGTAGGGAGAGGCACTGAAAAAGGCTGGGAATGATTCTGATTACCAAAAACTTATTTGGCACCTCTACCAAGGCTACGTATTGGTAACCCTATAATTCACACACCCAACTAGGGATAGAAACAGAAATGTGTGCATTTCTGTTAAAAAAAATCTATATATAAAAAAATATATATTTTATACTATATATTAATTTTTTTATACTATATATCAATAATAGTCCAAAACTTAAAACACTTGCTGTCCATCAACAACAGGTGGATAACTAAATTGGGCATGTGAATACCATGGAATATTAAACACTCATGAAAGGAGACATTACTGTGATATGCAACAGCCTCGATGAACTTCACAGACCAAATGTTGAGTGAAAGAAGCCAAACACACAGAAAATATATTACATAACTTCAGAAACACGCAGGTCAGAAACAAGCAATATTATTCTCTGTTGGTAGAATAGTTGTCACCCTATGGGCAAAGGTTACTGAACAGGGGTGCTGAAAATTTATATCTCAAGTTGGGGCAACGGTTATCTGGTGAACACACTGGTAAAAATTCATTCAGCTGTATACTTAAGGCTTCTACACTTTGTAGTATATAAATTATGACTCTTTATTTTGGTACCAGGAATTGAACTCAGTACCTTGTGCTCGCTGGGCAGGCACTTGTGCCGCTGAGCTACACCCCCAGCCCTATGAGTCATTTTTTAAAAGTTTAAAATGGATCATATTCTTCACTGTCCATGATAACTAAGTAAGTTGACTCTGACTCATGAACCATCAGTAACAACTCAGTGCTCAATAAAAGTGCTTCAGCTATGATTAAAAAACAATCAAGGTGTATATTAAAAGCTAGCAATTAATGCCCTTTCTGTGTGTAACAACTATAAGCATTTAAAACACAAATTCTGACATCAATAAAAATTACATTCAGATAAAAAGTTAGAAATAGCAAGTATCTGTTCCTAATTTGGTGATCAAAATCCTTGAATTTTACCCCAGGCAAGACAACGTTGAAGGCAACTGCACTCAAACCATCAAGCTAAGTTATACCTCCTCAGACTAACACCTCAATGCTGCCGTACTATGACTGCTGATTTTGTAAAGATTTCGGCTGACAGCGAGAGTAGCCTGAAAGTGGTCCCTGGTGGGAGTGCACTATTGAGACATTTCTGAAGTGAGTGTACTCACATTTATGATGATATTCAGGGACTCATCATTGGGAAGGAAAATGCACACACTTCGGCGGTCTTGCATGACTCTGTTGTTATGGAAGTTCAGTTTGTTCATTGTGTTGTGGGCTCGCTGATGGTCAAGGCTGGGCTCTGCGTCCTCAGCAGCTGCTCAGGTTCCCAGCACTCCAATGCCAAACTCCTCTCATCACACACCCAACAGGAGACGCATCCTGCTGTTTTAACTATAGAGGTTTCATAGCTGTAAAACAAGACCAAAGGAAGGGCTGTGAATAAAATGGTCAGACTGTCAAGGACAGAGACAGCATGTCTCAAGCCAAAGCTGCTGACTTCGATATACTGGAATTCTCTGAAATACATTCTGTATGTGTTAGTCCCACTACCACCTGTCTTAGAATGTGCATTCACAGTCTTGAACTCAACTTAAAGCTAGGGAGAGCCTTGCACATTCCAAAGCGTACTGCACTGTAAGGTTCGTGGAAACAGAGATCTTGCTTTCTGAGGAGTTTCTAGTCTCACTGGGAAGATAACTAAGAGCTCTGAAATAAACAAATGATAAGAACAGCAGAAACAGCAAAATTCTCTTTCTCCTATTACCACCAAATTCAAATAAATGTCTTGGCTCCGACATCACATTTACTCTTCAGCCACTATGGTCTGGCTTCTACTTCCTTTGCTTTACCAATTCACTCTGCAAAAAAAGCCAGAAATCTCTGACCATCAGTACTACCCGTAAGATTCACTTTGATCAATCTCTTACTGTGGTTATTAAGTCTTCCTTTCAACTTTCTTCTTGGTTTTATGGTGCTGCACTTTCCCGATTCTCTGACCTGGTAAATTTAATTTTTCTACTTATTACTTCAGAAACCACTTCATAAAGAGAAAGAACAAAACTATAAAACCATGTTTGCACATAAAAGAACTAAATTCTGGCTATCTTATATAGAATCAGATTATTGAACAGTTTTATTTTTCAAACTTATCTTAGGTTTTGATCTACATAATTTTGTTTGCAAATAATGGGAAATTTACCTCCAGCTTTCAATAGTCACGCTTTTCATTTGTGTTTCATGTTTCAGTGTGTTGACGAGAGCTTGCAGAATAACTCGGAAATGGCAAATGATTCCTAATTTCAACTAGTATTTCACATATTAATAGAAACTGTTCAAGCAAGATATATTATAACTAGTTGTCTCTAAAACTATAGGTATTTGTATTATTCCTTTCTGATTGTATTCATAGGATGCAAAAGAGTAGTTCTAGGAATATGGATCCATTTCACTAATCAGACAGTGTATAGTTTTTACAGAACACCTCTGAATCAAAGCATTAATGAGATCGAATCTTGTCCTATTTGCTTCTTTAAGTTAAATTTTCATCTGTTAGCAGTGGGAGGAAGAAATTATATTTTTAGCACATGGAGTAAATATAATCTAGTGTTTCTGTTTAATCTACAAATAAAATACCACTACAAAAGAATTACTCAAAACTAAATAAAAACAAAACTAAATCTTATAGATCGTATTTCCCTATTAGAAAGGTACACAGAAGTCCATTTAGGTGAAGTCCATTTATCTTATATGATATGAGCAACTGTTCCACATGCGATCACAGCCAGCACATCATCTCATGGAATCACCAAACGTCAGTGCTACAGTTCTATGCAGTATGGATGGTGAACCCACATGTTCTAGGTGTGTATAAACTAACTGTACCCCAAATCTATCACTCACTTAGAAAACATTAATCCAACAGTCCCAAAGCACCAGTTGGAGAACCACTGTTGACTGCATCAAACTCACCAGAGTACTGTAATAAATGCAAAATCCTGAGCACAGTGACATTTCTACTCAGGGCCAGGTGCTTCTAATGTGCACCACACACAGAGACTACCACGTGAGAGGCAAGTGGAAGGTACTAAGGGGAGTGCTGGATATGCTAAGTTCAGGGCACACACTGAGAACCACGCTGGAGATAAGAATTTGGGAATAAGGAGCTTTTGTGTGTGGCATCACATCATCACCTTAATGAAAAACAATTTCTCAACATTTCAAAGGTATGAGTCCCTAAAACCATTAATTTTGAATACTGAGATCTTCCTGAAAAATGGTGGCTTCGGAACAAATACATTTGTGAAGTACTTCACCTTACTTATGCCCCTTCTCAGAAATTCAGAAAGAAATCAAAGCCCTGCAGGCAAGTTCGTACATCTAACTTAGTGTTTCTCAAACTTACATGAGCACGGATTACCCCTCCCGCCCACCAAGCCCAGCATATCTATTAAGGTTCTGTAGAAAATATTCATAGGTATAGTTTCAGAAACACAATTTTAAAGTGACTTCCTTGTCAAATGTATATTCTATGGCAAAACTTTCCCATGTTTATTGGTGTATTCTAATACACAGGCCTCTGCCATACAAAATCTTTTAAAAAGAAACTACAAGCTCCAATTAAATGCACCTTATTTAAGTAAAACCCCTAAATCATATTAATCCCAGTATAATTCTTCTTATTTAATTCTATGCTTTTCCATTTCTAATTTAACCAATTAGAATATTTCCACTGATCTGCTTTCTAGAATTTAAATAACAAACTAGGAAAAAATATCTTCTGAGGTTTGAGTTATTTCAAGAGCTTCATTAAAATAACTTGGAAATTTCATTTGGGTACATTTTTATTTTATGGTTCAAATACACAGTACAAGTGAAGACTGAGAGAGGGTTATTGAAATGAATTTCATAAAAGCAGAGTTTCGAAAAAGCAGTGCTGCCTCACTGCTGCTTTCTCTGCTTTGAGGGTGGCAAACTAGAAAAGCCCTTAACAGAGGCAGGATTAAGTTTTTACTTTCCCCAGGACAGCATTAAAGCTAATTAAAAGATTCCACTGAAACAGCAAAATAACCATATCTCTAACACACACAAGTATCCAATTTAATCTTAAATTGGGCAGTCCTGGGGAAAAGAATTGGACTAAATTGATACCAGTTTGAACTGTAGAATTACCCTCTCAACCATTGGCTACTTGATCTGTGTCCTTAAACTATGCTCCAATCCAGTCCCAGGAGGACACATTTCCTACTTGGGGGTATGCTTTTTCTGTTCCACAATTTTACAAGAGATTATCCATGAATAAACCATGTAGTAGTAACATACTTCCAGGGCAATAACAGATCAGCCAACATTGTGATCAAGCCCCACCCTGCCATCTTTACGAATACCCAACTTACAAAGAAAATATATTAAAAGTCTGAAATCCTCCCCCTTGAATCTTCACCCACAATATACTCTCATTTTGAATGGTAACAAAAGAAGATTCTCAATCCTGGGATTATCTCCCTAAAAAGGGGGGAAAATTATTATTTGTTAAGATTATAGTAAGGCAAGCATGACTAGGTAGGCACATATCAACGGTCAATATGGTATCTTTATTACCTAACAAAAACAAGGCAAAAAACATTGGAAAACTAGATTGCAGAGAGCCCTGTCATCAATTTAATCATCACACATGTATAAGCTTACATTATACATATAGTACTCTAATACTAGCTGGAGAGCAGAATAAAGCAACAGAAGATGTTTTCTAATTAAGAACACATCACTGCCAAGAAATTTAGTACTATACCTGATTCCTAAGAATACACACACTGATGGACAACTCCGTCAAACTCAAGGAGAGATATAACGGAAACAGTACAGAATGAATACTGTACCAGAACACTGTAGTAAAGATAATTTTGGAATAAACAGTATATCACCTTTAATGTAAGGTATCCTGTCCTAAGTGATGAAAATACCTTTGGTAAAATGAGTTCCATTTGTAGTTGTTCATTTATATATTCACTGGTATGAAATACATGCATTAAACACTATGAATCACATGTTGTGAATACTAAGGATATGGCACTAAACAAAATAAATACCTTGCTCTAATAGAGACAGACAACCAAGTAGCTAGTGATATGCACTATAAACAAAAATAAGCCCAGAGTAGGTGAGAGAGTTGATGAAGATATGGTGGTGGTATGGGTGGTGCACCATATAGGATAATCAAGGAAAGCTACTCTGATGACTTGATATTTGGGTCGATGCCTGAATCAAGAGAGATGTCGTCTTCTTCCTTCCTTTCATCCATTCACCTATCCACTTCAGAGAAGAGTTTTGTTGGCAGAGAGAATTCTAAATGGCATGGATCACACTGTTCTGAAAGGTAAAATAATGGTACCAATGATGGCCACATGTACCAGATACAACATGTGCCAGCTTCTGTTAAGTGCTTATGGTATTTGAAAGAAAACCACAAATTTGCCATGCTTCTCATTGACAGGTGGGATCTATTTCCTCTCTGCTTGCATCTGGACTAGACCTGTGGTCAACTCATGCTCAGTTAAAAATTCTGCCTCATGGGTAATCTACTTGTGCAAATATTCTTTGTCTCTCATTCCAAAGTGCTATCTACACAGAACACTTGGTTCAGGAGCTTGAAATGGTTACTTGCCTTGTACACCTCCTCTACTACAGCAAAGCCACTAGCTGTCATTATTATTTAATCCTCAATGCTAAGCATAGGGCTATTCTCACAACTGCTGGTTGTCTTACTACACATGTCCTTGGTCAGTGGAGATTCTACAGCAGGCTTTCTTAATCTTGAGACTACTGTCATTTTGAGCCAAACATTCTTTGGAGTGGGGGACTGTCCTGTGCATTGTAGGACGGCCAGCAGGCCTGGCCTCTACGCACTAACTGCCAAGAGTCCCTCTTTTCCCAGTGTGACAACCCACAATATCCATAGACAGTGCCAAAAACAATTACTCATGGTTGAGAATCAATTGCTCTACAGACTCACTACAGGTTACTTTTTATCATTCAACTGTTCTTTTTTTTAAACATAGTCATACAACTCTTATTAAATATATATTTTCTACCCAAAAACAGGCAACTGAGTTCCAAACTCAGAAGTCTGATCTGAACCTTATAGTCACATCTTCAATTTCTTGAATGTGTGTGGCCTTTGCCTTTGGAATAGCTCTCAAGTCCGGTCTTCTTAAAACTTACCTGTAGTACAGTGAATTACAAGCTTCTCACAGAATTACACTTCCATTAAAACCAGGCCCTTGCCCCTGGAGAGTCCTATATTTCGGTATTAGTTCATTTGTTTCATGTTTCGGGGGAAGATGGATGTGTATGCGTGGGGAAGGTGGCCAGGGTTGTGTGTGTCACCCAGTGCAGCTTTTGAACAGAACAA